CATCATGAAGGAATACGTAAAAATAAAGGACTAGTTCAAACAACAGTGGAAGGACCACTATTGAAAGAAAATATTCACGTAAGTGGAGAGGCTACCACAGCTAAAGAACAGAGCAGTATTACATCAAAGAATGGTTTGGAAAGTCGAAGAGAGCAAAAAGTAAAAGATGGAACTTTCTCAGTGAAAGGAAACACTTCTGCAAAGACAGCACTGTTCTCATCAATAGAACCGGTGCCAAATAAGACAACTGCACCCTTAAAGAGAGATAATGTTGTTATAGATAAGTATGACTTGGCCAAAATGGCTTTAGAGGAAGTAATTGCTGAACGAGAGCAAAGAAATTTGAAAAGTAATGCACGTGGTTGTGAAAAACTTCAAGATGATCTTGAGTTACCCACCAGTGGAGAGGACCAACTACCTAGCATGTTTATGCTGAATGAAAGGGGGACAAGTACAAAAGATGGCAAAGGTCAGAATACTGTATCAGCTTTTAAAACCAATTGGCAGACTTTGCAAACAAAGTCAGAAGACATGGCCAAACATGGTGAAAGTCATGTGCTTGAGGTAAAATTAGCCAGGCCCTGTAAGCAGGAAGCATCTAATGGGCAGTGCCAGCATGTAGAACCTATAAAATATAATGAGAGAGACAGATTGTGCCTAGACCATCAAGAAAGCAACACAAATAATATCAGTAAGGGTGATAAAAAACACCAAAAGAAAGAGTTAATGAATAAAAACGTAAGTCATGCAATGAAATGCACAAAAATGGGAGATAATTTGGAAAGTAGAGATATTTGTGGAGTGGGACAGTATGAAGAAGAGTTGGGTGTTGACAAAAGGGGTAGTTCCTATAAACCTGAGATACCCCCAAGAAGAGGGAGAAGTAATTCTCAGAGTAATGACAGAGTAGCTGAAAAGACAGAAGGTAATTTGGACTTTAAAAGAGAAGGTGACACTACAGGCAAAACTGAGATAATGGAAAGTAGGGAAATAAGCAAAATTCAGTCAAGTCAAACAAACAGTCGAGGCCCAGTGAGAGGAAATATATCAGTTCTGAAAGAGAAGTACAACAAAGAAATTAAGATGAACCGCAAGGATGTTCAGAAAGGCCTGCCTGTTGAAGATACATGTTCTGAAAAGTCTATGGAAGAGAGACCCAATGAAAAGACCCCAAAAGACAAAATGAAACACAAATTTGTTCCACCAAAACTCACAGTCAGTGATGTTGAAAGTGGCACTTATTCCATTATCTACAATGAGATGGATTCAGTGAGTGAAAGAATGTCCAACAGCTCTTCAAAAGAATCAGAAAGAGGCGAGGAACATTCTAGTCCACAGAGGAAACACAGTATCACCCAAGACTTCCAAAAGGCTGTAGGTGATCTCACAAACAACATAAATGAAGGAATGCAAGACAAGGTAAAAACAAACGAGAAGGAAGAAGGTGCTGACAAGCAAAACAAATCCAAAGGTCCAAAGGTCTATGTGAAAGACTTCTTAAGTGGACTCCTTGGACTTTCAAGCTCAGAAAGGGTCAAAACGGTAGATGAACTTGAGGAGGAACTCTCTGAAACACTGTCCTCAGAGTCTTTCAAACCTGATAAAGTCAGAAAGGACAGTATCACAGTGTATGATATCCTTGGACAGTCTCACACCGTATCTTCGTTAAATGGTAAACAACCCCATCACAGCAGTCACTCTTCAAACTCAAGTGAACCCTCTCTATTGCACGAATCCAAACAGGGGGCACAACCAGAAAAGTTGTTAAGGAAAGCAGAAGTCTGCAACATGAAAGAAAAAGTAGATGAAAAGGTGAAGGAGACTTTCCAGAAACCATCAATAGATTCTTGCTCATTAAGCAACCATGAATGTGAGTCAGATGTCTCTGACAGGGTAGTTTCTCCACCTAGTGATGTGGACAAAAGGGGATTGGTGCACAGCTTGATTGAGTCAGCTAGAAACTTAACACAAATGCCACACAGTCATACTTCCTCCAAGGATCAACAAGACAACTGCTTGAATAGATCTGAGAAAGATGAGGACGATCTGGACCTCTTCAAAGATCATTCTCAAGTTGAGATGCCTGCTGTATCAGTCAAGAGCCCCCAACCAAACCAACCAGCAATGCAGTTCTTGTCCCTTCCGGCAACTCACCTGGTCACAGTCAAGGATGGAAAGCCATCGGTTAGAAGTGCCTCTGTGTCTGAGGAGGATGAGCGACGCTCTGCTGTGAGCACTTTATCTGAGAGAATTGATGGCTATGAAACAAGCGGAGGGGATACGATGGAGGAGAACATCTTTAGCAATACACCAACAGAGGATGCAGAGGGATCCAAGGCACCCAGCGAGAGACCTGCTTCAGCCAGCAGTGGAAACGATGGTCAGGGTCAGAACAAGCCGCCTGTTGTACCTCCAAAAACCGAAAAGGCTCTACGCCGAGCCTTGAAGCTCACCACACGGAGGATACAAAAATCTGAAGCTAAAAGCAAATCTGAGCATAAAGGTGACAAAAGCGTCGCTCACAAGGCTGAGAGGAGGCACCACAGCACTGACAAAGTACATGACAGATCAGAATATAGGTCGCTTAGCAGTGACAGAATCAGCAATAAGCAAAGCAAACATCTCGATGACACGCTTGAGCATAAAGCTCAAAGAAGCGAGAAGCATGCTAGACGCCATAGTGGTCACAAGAGCCAAAACATAGAAGAGAATGATCCTAGTAAAAAAGTGCCACATGCAACCAAAGGCAAAGATACTGGTGACTCAAAGACCCATCGCAGTGAGAAGCAACTAGAAGGCACATCAAACCATGGGGATCATTTGGAGAATGGCCAAATAAGCCATTACAGTGACAGACTGGGCCGAAGCAATGAGAAATACTTGCCCAAGAAACTGGAACGTAGGACTCAAAGTCTAGATAGATTTTTAAGGGATAAGCACGAAAACATATCGAGCAGCACTGGGAAAACTGGTGTTGAAGTTAATTCAACAGGAGGATCACAATACTCTACTCAAAAAGCATTACCTTTGCGCCACAACAGCATTGAACATACTTATGCACCAGCCACTAATCTTGTAACACAGTCCTTCCCGATCACTCAAAGGAAGCTTTTACAGGACCCTGACTCTGGAGAATACTTTCTGGTGGATATGCCTGTACAGGTCAAAACGAAAACTTTCTTTGACCCGGAAACAAAAAATTATGTGCAACTTCCAGTACAATCTCCCGAGGCTGCTGTGCGACAAGCTCCACCATTGGAGGTGATGAACACACCACCACTTATGCTGTATCATGGCTTTGTTCCAGTGCCCCTACCATCACAGAAATCTGTTGTCAGGACTGGAGGATCTATGATTCCTCCTGATGACCTGGAAGACTTTGAACCTAGCAGGAAACAGATGCAGGAAACCTTTTATAAAACGCATAATGAAGAGGTAAATCCTTACTCTGAGCCTGTTTATATATCACAAGAACATACACCTGAAGAGGAAATTGATAGTGTGAGATGAAAACATCCAGACTGAAGCAGTGGATGTTTTTCCAGTGTTTGAATGTGACTGAAATCAGGGATTTGTGTTGTTTGTTTTCAGTCTGGTGTGCCATGGGAAAGTGTTTCTAGTATGTATGCTGTTCTTTGTTTTATAGTGCACAAGACGTGGATTGTAAATGTTTAATTCTTATTAAAGTAAGGCCTAGATCTCTTACTGCTAAAAGCACTTGTCTATTTGTAACAGGAAGTTGAGATTTGCCTAATTGAAAGTAGTTTTGCTTTCATAAAAAATCAGAAGGAGATTATTTTGATACATCTTGTATTTGAGTTTTGGAAGTATTTAGTCCACAGTATTTTTCACAGCAGAAAAGTATTGCAAAAATGAAGAGATCAACATAGGTGTTTTGTATGCTTAAAATGGTATATTTGACAAATGCTGATTGCATTCTGGGTGCATTTTGGAATTAATTAGTATATTTAAATGGATTGTTGCTTCAGAAAAGAACCATTCCAATAAAAGCATCATCAATGAGCAATTGTTAAATTATTTCATTTTGATGATTGCACTACCTTTTATCTGAAGAAGAATCACATGTTGCTTAGTCTTGGGAAATCCAGACTTTATGACTTGCAGTAAAAAGTGTAGTCCTCATTGCAGATTATTCTGACAGATTATCTGATTGACACTGCATGGCACCAACCTGTTAACAAAGCTGAAAATACAGTTCTGCACATGAATATCTACTTAACATCTTGTTATTAAGTGCCTCAAGCAAAACACTCGATGCCACTAACCTGGACAACCTTGGAAAATCAGTTCTTCCTCACTCTCGCTCATTGTTTTAACCTAATACTTTGATGATTTCAGTCAGCTTTAGCCATCTTTGTCTACAAAGTGCACCAGACTACATCGCGCTTAGCCGTTACAATGCCATTCTGCCTCCACCAAGTGGTGAATAGGAGTTCTGCAAGCGTCTTATGACCTGCTAAAACAACTGTAAAGTTGGGTTGCAACATTATGTGGTATTTGTCATGACATACATTTTTGGATAATGTTTATGTAGTAACATTTTCAGATGCTAAAGGAACTCAGAATGACTCATCAGGGTCAAGCTTGTCTGACAATATGTACGTCTTTCTAAGGATGACTTACCTTTAACATAAAATGTTGAATTGTCAAATTGGCATGATTACATTTTGTTTTTTTTTATGTTTTGTAGATTTGTGGTAGCTGAACTCTTAAGGGTGGAGCTTCAATATGAAGTTTTCAAGCCTGAAAAGACATCTTCCACTCAAAGTAATGATAATCTGTTTTATACTTATAAAAGATATTATCATATTTGGTTGCATGAAACATCTTTAATTTGGTTTAGACATACAAATACCCATACAAATATCAACTACTGTTAATGCTATCTAAATTTACATTTGAAGTGAGGCACATGCGATGCTTATAAATAAATGACATTATACATAAACGGATACATTTACATCTTGTCATTCTGTATTTTAATGGCAGCCACAACTGCCAGCAACCATGTCATCGTACTGTTTCAGAACAACGTTTTCCTCGTCGTCGAAGTACAGGAGACTGATGGGGTGAAGCACATCTGGCACACAGCAGGGTCTCCCCGCCTCCTGTGATAGTTTCAGTGCGTTCATGATGGATCTCACAGTAGCGTGATTTGTAGCCCGTAGACCTTCACCCAGCGGAAACGGACAGGAGCCCGCGCAACTGTACGCATTATAACCTCTGGGAGATATTATCCACCCTGACCAGCCGATTTTAGTGAAGTCTACGTAGAGGTTTGTTCTCTGGCAAGTAGAGGTTAATGCGCGCACACTTCTGCGGTTGTGCATTGTTGACTCCACTGAACTTGCTATAGGCTCGAGGAGTTTAAGGGATGTGGTGATATTTTGTCCTAAAAGAGAGTTAACAATGGCATCAAAACTTTTAAACATAAAATCTGATTTTTGTGTAGGGTTAGGGTTAGGGTTAGTACTTGTTTATGCTACATTGTGGGGAACAAATGTCCCCACAAGGATAGTAAAACCTGGAATTTTTGACATTGTGAGGACTGGCCTGCGGTCCCCACGAGGGAAAAAAAATTATTAAAAATAGTAAATGATGTTTATCTGAAAGTGTAACAATGCAAACAGGTTTTCTGTAAGGGGTAGGTTTAGGGTTAGGGGATAGAAAATATTGTTTGGTCAGTATAAAAGTAATAGAAGTCTATGGAAAGTCCCCACAATTCACAGAAACAAACGTGTGTGTGTGTGTTTAACAGTAATATATTTCAGACACTATGTACAGTATGCATTATAATAATAATGCATTCGAAGGCATTCAAATATCTATTTTCAACTTATTTGGTATTTTTATGTCCCTGGGCTCGATTTTCTTTTTCTTTTTTCAATTTTTTATTTAAATTGATTTCAACACTTTTCTTTTTGTTACATGAAGGTTTCATTGTAAATGTCCTGGAAACTTTTTTTTTTTACCAGGCCTTCATTTATTTTTGCAACTTAAAAATGCCTTTTATTGTATTATTTTACCTTTGTCGCAGACCTAATCTTTCAGTCTTAAAATATGAAATATTCCATTTCGACACATTTCCAATGCTATTTAAGATGTAATGGAAATGCATTTGTAAAGTAACACTGAAAATGTTTGTGGCTTTTTAAATAAACATTACAAAATAAATGACAGACCTTACCTGTGATGCATGAATGTCCATTAAAAAAGTGTGTAAAATGTGTTTTAAAAGAGTTTATTTTCTGAAAGCCCACAAGGCCAAAAGTGCCCATAGTCTAGAAAACACCCATATGTTATACTCGTGCCTGGAGAATTTCAGTACGTTTTAATTACCTGTGTAGAAAGGTGGGTGTTGGTAGTGCTTTTGTCCATCATCTGAATATATAACCAAATATGCATTTGTTTGGCCTGACTGCCCCTTCATCTGAATGCTGGAATCAAACCAGTCACCTGCAGGTAAAGCAGTCACGACCACGATACCATTATTTGTACCGCTGTTAAGAATCCATTTGGTCACCTGTCAATAATTTAGAAGTTATTGAGACAGCGGCACGCGCAAAGCGATTACACATTATTTTTTTCTACGCAGTGATATTTTGTTTACCATTTGTGTGATGTTGAAGACCTCCCATCCTTTAGTGTAGATGGGTAATAACCTTGAGCTTATAAAGTTCCCTCGCCAAGGTTTAGGTCTGCTGTCCATCACTTCATACAGGTCAACCTAAAACAACACATTTTGTAATATTAATTACATTTTTACATGCAAATTCGCAATTATATTCCTTATTGTGTTTACATAGTTTCAAAATATTTAGTATCCAGAATATTACAAGTTAGACAGCGAGCATATTTTTGCCAGACAGAAATTTGAGGTATTATCCATAGCAAGTGTAAGTCACTCGAGCACTTTCTCAGCATCATCACTGAAACGAACTCTAACAGAACACTGCCAATATAACTTTATTTTAGATTTACATATTACATATATCCCCCAAAACATCAACATATTTTTATTTAAAAAGTTTGTTTTTGCAATATGGGTTGCTCGAGATGAACATCAACCGCTTAAGCCTTGAGCATTTCCTATTAAAGCTCCTTATAAGCAAGACACTGCAAGCAAAAATTTAAAACAATTACAATTTTTCAGGCACTATTTAATTTTTGGCTATTTGGCTTTTCGTAACTTTTGGACTAGCGGAAAGAAAACATGCAAAATATACTTTTAAGTGTGTATTTAATTGCACTTTATCTTGTGTCTGCAGATTTTAATTCCAATACATATATTTAAAGAGTTTTTTCTCCACTTTAGTAGCACTACTTTACAGTTTTATATATATTGCGTGTGTGTGTATATATATATATATATATACACACTATATTGCCAAAAGTATTGGGACACCCCTTCTAATGAACATGTTTCACTACTTTAGTAATTTTGCATGTTTATGCATCAAATTATATTCTAGGGAATTGTGTGCTTCCACACTGACTCAATCAATCATTTCTTTTTGAACCTTGCCTTATACACAGAGGCATTGTCATGTTAGAATAGAAAAGAGTCCCGTCCAAACAGTTTCTATAAAATTAGAAGCACCCAATTCCATAGAATATCATTATATGCTTAAACATTAAGATTTTTACTCAATATAGTGTCCTATGTCTGTAAAAAAAAAAACTATCTTAAAACCTTATATAAATGTAAAAACCATATCTATTTTTTGTCTATTTACATATTTTCTGATTTATAAAAGTGATAAAAGAGATATAAAAATCCCCTTTGTAGAAACCGCATATTTCAACAAAATGAAACAAGAATTTTGAACCTGGCTTATCCAGTTTAGATTTCTGTTCTGGAAATGTATTTAAATCAATGCATATTTAATTAGATAATGCCTAATTTTTTTAGTAGTAAAATAGTAGTAATAAGTAATATAGCCTACAGTAATACAATGTTTGCAATTCTTAATGCAATCAATCACCTGGGAAAATATATATATTTTTTTACCTTTACCTTTTTTTTTTTTTTTTTTTACCTTTTCTCTATTTAGGCTACCTGTGGTGTCTTTCCTTACAAGGAACCGTTCACTTTACATTCAGCAGCACACTTACATTAAGCACTAACACACTTACATCTACTTACATGACTTAAATCGTGCCTAAATGCTCAACTTACTTTGTAAAAATGATGACGTCCCATAAAAGGCTGTTGATGACGAAACCATCGGAATTCTGCTCTGATGACGCGCTCGTCCGGTCTGAATGATGTCAGATTGAAGAAGTGATACGAGCCGCTGGACTGTCCTATCAGAAAACAAACGCCTCTGGATTACATCTAAACGTCCACTGGAACATCTTGCATCTCACCATTTCACTTTACACACCTTCGAAACTTCTAACAATATTTCCTTTCAGGCCTTTCATGCTTTTCAGTGTTCCGTTCGAGTCCGCAACAGCATCGTACAACTCCATCATGAACCGAGGCGCCTTCCTGTGCGTCTGAACGCTGCGGGTCAGATCTTCGATCTGGAATATTTCATTCCAGTTGCGCATCTTAATTGCATTTGTTATCTTTGGCACATCTGCTGAGGTTGAAATGTCATCGGAGGACACAAGCAACGACCACGCAAAAATCCCAAAGAAATAAATGCTCAGTAACTTCATATCTAACCGATGTAGAATATTGCCTTATCGTATGAATTCGCAGCTGCTGCTGAGATGCAGTTGAGATGGACTGCTGAGACAGTGCATTCAAAGCAACTACAAATTTACACCGAGATTTACACAGGGGTTTGTATGCTCACCCTGCACAGATAAGAGTGAACAGACAGCCTTTCAAGCCAAACACCATGACTAAAGTTAAATAAACTGTCTGCCTCATATTAATTAATCACGCACATGCATCATCAAGGCTACCTTTGAATAGAATTTATTTTCCTCTGACACTGCTGTGTTTATTCATTCAATTAGTTCGTTTGTAAAAGAAGCACACCTTTTGCAATTTTAGATAATAGCCATTTTTGCTTATGCATCTTCACTTTTATTAATGAATAAGTCCATGGATACTTGTGTGTGTGTGTGTGTGTGTGTGTGTGTGTTTATAGTTATTTTAGTACATTAAGTTAACCTTAATGAGAAAATGAAAAATGTTGCTAAAAACAAAAAGTTTAAAAATATATATATATATTATTCTATTTCAGTTTGTTTATTATATTTCAAGCAACACATATTTTATGGTTTTAGTTTACTTCATATATAAAGAAGTCTATTATACCCACCAAGTCTGCATTTATTTGATAAAAAATATGGTAAAAAACAGTAATTTATAACTCTGAAATTAAATGAAATAACTGATATTAATGGCTGTGGAAAATCCAGCTTTGCCATCACAGGAATAAATTACATTTTAAGCATATGCACATAGAAAAAAAAATATTATAAATTGTAATACTATTTCACAATATTGTTGTTTTTATTGTATTTTTGATCAGATAAATGCAGCTTTGGTGAACATTAGAGACTTCTTTCAAAAACATTCAAAAACGTAATTATTTCAAACACCAGCCAGTGTAGATATTTAATAGTGATACAGAATATTTTATTTTAGGACTTATTTGTTGAAATGAGAAGGTGTGTTGGCCCTGGTTCAGAGGTCATTAGACAACGACAGCAATGAAGAGACAAATGTTAGAAATTGCTGTAAGTCTGTGTTGGTTTTAGCAGGTTGTTGTCTGTTATCTCTGCACAGCCAGATCCTCCCGTAGTGACAGAAGTAAACGCAATGACATGACTATGACGCAAATGGAAATGAATATTTACTCACTGTTACCCTCAGCCTGTTTGCCCTTCATGCAGACGTCTTCTGTACGCCATCTTTGTCTGTCTTCAAATGAAATAATCCTCATTTACATAAAGCCTTTGATGAGTTAGACACTTTACCTGCCATTCGTTTTTAAAATAAAAACATTTCAACTTTGACTAATCAGAGACGGTCACTAAATTATTTAACACAAATGCAGCCTATCATTTGTTTAAGTTTTTTCCGTGTCTCACCTGCTCTGAGTTAAACAACAGATTTTGGTGAGTATATTTTTCGTTATTTACTTTAGTAGGCTACTTGTATTTATATTTGTGCAAAGATCCTGATAATTCAGTTCTTCAAATAAAGAATTTTAAGTTAAATTCATGTTTGATTACAAAATGATTGTCGGATTTATACATAATCTCAAGATTAAATTGTAAATTGTAATCTTTAAATCTTTATTTAAGAATGTTAGATATTTTAATGAAAAACAATACTAAAATACTTTAATTTTTAAAGCTGAAAATCAGTTTGAACCCACCCTAGGGTATGAATTAATTTATTTACTGAATGAAAGCTACACATTTATAATATCTGACACAGTATTTTTGTATCTGACGTACTGAGTGATAATACTTCACATGCAGTTGTATTTTAGTTTTGTAGGCTGTTTTGTCCCAGTACTCAGGAATCATTGAGAGAATAACTCAATAAATGGCATATAACATGCTTGGGATAAACTTGTGATATTTTGTCCTTTGATCAACCTTGTTATTTACATGTTTTCTAATTGTGCAATGGTGATGCTAGTTAATGGTGATGCTAGTTAATATTGGTGACTATGCTGTCTTAAACCACAATAAAGGATCAGTTCTTCTCCACTAGATGGTGGTGATGACTAAGGAAACAACTTTCATTTCATCACATCTGCAAGCGCTTGCTACTTGGTTGATGTTTTAAAGCAGAGACGTGGAGTAGTCTGGGCATTTTTTTGCAGAAAAAATGTATTACTTAATACTCAATGCTTTATACATATATATCCGATCTGCCTCACAATTCAGTTGTTATTAAGAATAGGTATTTTTGAATCCATGCATTTAGAGACTTCATGAGGTTTTTACTTCACTGCACAAACCAGAAGCACCCTGCTATTATTCCCCATTAAATATATTGTTCGCCGTTTCAAATTCCATCGGCTAATTATATACATAATTACATAAACATTTTGAACACAGTCTTTAGGAGATATTCATAAAGATGAATGAGCTGTTCCACGCATTTGAGAGAATTTTCT